ATCGTCGTCCACTACCTCAAAAAGGGTCGTCGTTATCACCTCGTCGGCATTCGCGGGTAGCAGATTCTCTCCTCGGGTTGTCACGCTTGCTAGGTTGAACCCGATGTGGAGTTTTGTGGCCGGAATGATACTCCCGATGAGCTTGGTTTGCTCCAGCACTCTCCACTGGATAATATTGGCCTAACTTCCTAGGTCCACCAAAACACGTTTAATTTTAAAATCCAAGACATCTAAAGAGATTACCAATGCATTGTTATACGACAGTAGTAGTCCATTTGCATCTTCCTTCGTGAAATTAATGTCGTCCTTAGCGACTTCCTCGAGTCTCTTACTGTGGGTCACTAACACCTTCATCTTTTTGTCGCCGAAAATATCACACCATTAATCTCGTTCCCCCCAAAAATATGTTGACTGCCAAACGTGGAGGATCTTCTCCTACTTTTGAAGGTTCAGTGTTATCACGATTGTGGCCGTAGTTGTTTTTAGCTCGATCACTCAATAATTCTCTGAGATGGTTGTTATTCAGCAATGTCGCCACCTCCTCGTGCAGATGCCTGTAGTCTCCTATCCAGTGGTCGTTTGTCCCATGGTATTCGCACCATAAATTAGGATCCTTTTGACCGGGATGGGATCTCATTGGCTTTGGGAACCGTGCTTCCTCAATGTTCCTCATAGCCGATACTAGCTCCACTATGCTGATGTTGAAGTTGTACGCGGAAAGCCTGGGTAGGAGGAGTCCCAGGAACCTTACATCTCCTTGTCCTGGAGTTATTTATTACTCCGGCCGCGATCAGCTCTCCTATCGATTGCGAATCCATCTGCCGATTGAAAACCTTTACCGCATCCTTCGGCCCTTTCATAGGGCAAAAACCGACCTCTTGAAGACTGTCGATCTATGTCGAAATCATCCTTTATTTCTCCTTATTCTTCTCGCGGTCCTGACCCTTGGTTGATGCTGGGAAACCGAGATGATCATCCTCAATTCTTATCTCTGACTCGTACCGGTTGTGAACATCTGCCCATATTGTTTCCTGGAACTCGAGTAGACTTTCTTTCACTTTTCGGGAAGCATAGAAACTTTTCGAATTCAGAACTTTAGTGAATGCTTCAGCTACCTATCCGTCCGGTATGACCGGTAGCAACATCCTTTCCTTCTAGAATCTGGTCACGAACTCCCGCAGCAATTTAGACTCTCTTTGTGCAATCCTAAATATGTCGGTCTTTCAGGCTTGTACCTTTCTGGCCCAGGCATGGGCCTTGATAAAAGAATTCGCGAACATCTAGAAGGAATCTATTGAGTGCTCGGGCAAAAGCGAATACCATGTCGGGCCCCCTTCGTGAGGGTCTCCCCAAATTTCTTCAGTAAGACTGACTCAATCTCGTGGGGAGCTAATTCGTTCCCTTTTATCGCTGTTGTATAGGTGGTGATGTGCTCCTGAGGATCCGAAGTCCCATCATACTTTGGCTCGTCTGGCATTTTGAACCTCTTCGGGATCAATTCTGGTGCCGCGCTTGGTTTGACCGGCAATTGATATATTTTTTTGAGACTGGTCCTTTCAACACTGGTGGTACGCTCGGAAATTGATCCATTCGGGTGTTTATTTCCCTTATAAACCGCATGAGTTCGGTTTTAAAGGGATTATTCTTATTGTTGTTACCGAATCCGCAACCGTTCCCCCGACCCTGTCGAAGTAGACTTCGCCCCTCGGGTTGTTGTTGTCGACCCTCTGCGTTGTTTGATTTGCGGGAGCACCGGGAGGAACTATACCTCGTCCATTCACGTTGTTGGAAGCACCCGAAAACGCCTGCAACTCCGTCGTGAGAGGTGGCCCATAATGGCTTTTTGTTTCTCCCTCAGGAGCCTTACTATTTCAACGATGTCCTCGTCTTCGGCATCACCCGGAGTTGTCTCTCAAACATGTCACAGATATTGCCCATCGTGGACCGGCGTGGCCCCATCCCTCTCGTTGCGAGTATCAGTGATTGAATCTTCGTGCTGAGGCTGATTTCCATGGGCCTCAACGTTGTGTGCGATGTTGACATCGTTATCTACCATTTCTGTGATTTTTGCTAAGAACAAAGAATCAAACAGGTTAGTAATAGATGCAAGGATCAACTCAATTACACAACTGTCTAAGCCCCACGGTGGTCTGTCTACCCGTAAAACGGTACAGTTAAATTTTTACGTGGTTTATAGACAAGTGAATTAATTTGATCCCAAAAATAATAAATAAATTAAACAAGAATGTAAGACTTAGCACTGAAATCGAGATAAGACGGTAGATATCTTAGTTCCGGGAGTAGAGCTTCCGGAGGCGGCAGTAACGATATTAATAATCAAGAAGATAAAATATTATTGAGTTTTGAACAATATATAGTATAAGCTGGTCAGAAAATTCTCTCCCTACAATGGTTGTTGGAATCCCATATTTATAGTGATATCTAGGGAACAACGTCCTAGGATCAAGCCCCTCTTAAATAACAATTATGGGGGCCATTGAAGAATATATAATGGTTGGCAGTAAATGCCATATTCTGTAACAGATCACGTACTTAATGCTATATAATATTCTCCATTAAATGTCACCGGGTGGCAGATATTTATATCGCCTTTAAGAACATCATTCCCTTCAGGGACGAGCGAGATTGTCTTCTTCGGACCTGGTTGCCTTCTGCCTTCGACTCCACGTATCACTTTATTATGCGGGCATTTAATATGAACATACTTTACCTTATACAGAGGATGGTTAGCTAAGGATGAGATTGGCTAACAACACCGAGCCATTATAACTTCTACTAAAGCCAATACTGTATATTTATTCAGACATCAAGTTTACTTAAATCATTGATATGTTAAATTTCTAGAAAAATTGCAAGACTTGTAATAAAACATCAAATTTTGTGTCAGAAATGGAGAAAATACAGCTTGTGTGAGCAAGAAATTGGGTTGTCACAATCAAGTAAGACCCAGGAAGGCACTTCTTAAATTTGGTAAACAAGGGCTGCTAAGCTCACATGTTTTTGTTGCTGAGTAAAAGAAAGCCCTTTTTAGAATAAAATTCACAAACTTCTATTGACAAAGAGGACATATTGATAGGGCAACTAATACGCACCAATGCAGAACCACGTCAATAGAAGAAAGATATTGTTGTTATTTCTCCTTATAAAATGCGAAGAAGATTAATAAATAAACAAGCAATGTTAAATGAATCTAATACGTAATAGTATAACTCCTGGTAGTTAAGCTTTAGTCGTCTGTTTCTAATTAAAGAAAGATTATTACCAAGTTAAACTTGTCATATCTGTAGAATTTTATTATGAGTCGACTCTTATGCCATGTAAAAGCATTCTTCGACTACTCAGTTACTTATTTTATGTATTCGTTATTTGAGTATCGCTGTCACATGACAGAAAATAGTAGGACAAAAAGCTCCCAATTAGTGTGCTTTTATTGACTAGTCTATAGAAGAAAGAGTCCAGAATATATTAACACACGCTACTGATATTTTTTCGAATTAAATAATAATTAAATTAAAATCTGAGCCCTTTATTCTTCCTACAAACAAGAGAGTCAATTACTCAAATGGTCAGTCAACTATCCCAAATTATGTCCTAAAGTCACTTTTCTTTCGTTTGTAACAACAAAGTCACTGAACTACGCCTATTGCACTCAGAAGGTCACTCAACTAGATTTTTCAAATTTTTAATTGTTAAATACCAATTTTACCCTCTAAACTATAAACATTTATCTTCATTTTATTTTATTTTTAAACTTTTTAGTATTAACAACAAAATTCAAAAATTTATTTACACAATTTAGAATGAAAGAAAATAAAGGTTGTAAAATATATATTCGGTGCACATAATATAAAAATAATTATTTAAATAAATATATTTTTATAATATACATTATATATTCTTGAAAATTATACGCAATTATTCATATTTCTACCAACTTTCCGACAACACAAAGTATGTCACCGGAAAGCAGGGGGACTATCTGTATATAGGGTAAAATATGCTATGTTAAGTTGTGCATATATATATATATATATATATATATATATATATATATATATATATATATATATATATATATATATATATATTCTGAATTGTGTAAATAAATTTTAAAATTTTTGTTGTTAATACAAAAATTATTATTACTAACAGATATTCTAATTAATTTTTTTACTATGCTCATTATTTTGTTATTCCAGCATTATATATGCTTAAATACTTTTTATTTTTTAATTTATAAATAATATTTATTTATTCTATAGGTAAGTCCATAATGTAAATTAAAAAGGGAAAAATTATAATATGAAAAAGTTTTTTTAAAAAAATAAAAAGAAGATAAATGTTTATAATTTAGAGGGTAAAATAGGTATTTGGCAATCCAAAATTAGGAAAATCTAGCTGAGTGACCTTCTGAGTGCAATAGGCATAGTTCAATAACTTTGTTGTTACAAACAAAGAAAAGTGACTTTAGGACATAATTTGGGATAGTTGAGTAACCATTTGAGTAATGAACTCACAAACAACATTGTTCCAATAAAATAACACGTTTAGTGTAATAAAATTCTTTCAGTACTATTTAACTTGCTACAAGTGTAATTTTTCTTTTGCCTTAGTTTTCAAGCTTTTAATTTTACTTGTTACGAGCAATATAGCTATCTTGCAAGTAACTTGATAGTATAATTTTGTTTAGATATACAAAAATTAAGTACAAGACAAGTGTATGATTGGGAGGAAGAACGTCTTTCTTGTAAGTCAAACTAACATTACGTGTGCCAACCAATATCAGTTGAAAAATATATGCCAAAAAGAGAAGACATTTATATATTTAAAGAAAGCAAACTTGCTAGACTCCCCAACCAAACCCAACATCAAAAGTCTTGAAGTAATTCATATATTTTTTCTCTCTGCTACATTAGCTCCTTCCTTTTCAAGTTCCAAACCAAGAAAAAGGAAATTAAGAAACAGAAGCTTCGGCATATATGGAAGGTCTAATTCCATTGGTGTACAAGAGCATCAAAAGGAACAAAACTCTTCGAAAATACGAATCCCTCTCCTCTGCAGGCGCTAACAGCTATAACATTGAAGACTTTTATCCAAATGAAAGTTACCTCGTGGCGGCTGATGGTGGCGGTGCAGAGAATTACCGGCACCGGCGGACTCAGTCATTTCACGTCAAATACGACGGCGGATTGAACAGTGTTTCTACTCCTAAGGATAAACAACTTGTGAGGTTCACAAGTCACAGAATGTTCTCATGTGTAACTGGTGGTGTATGAAGATAAAATTAAAGTATTTCTTTCCTTGAATTTTGTGATTTAGTTTACTTATTATTATCTTTGTTTTGATTGGGTGATTTAATGCTTGAAATGGTGAAATTTCTGATATGTAAATTGTCGCAAAAGAAGTGAATCAATTGTTACTAGCTCAAATATTGCAAGTTTAAATTATTACTCAAAGATTGTTTTGTTAAGCTAGCATTTTCTCTAAAATTCTGAGAATGAACACACACCTATTGTGTGTATAAAATTCCCACTTATACAACTAGAATATAGGTTTTGGTTGTTAAGACCATATTCATCTCTATTTTCCTACTCTTTTTTTTTTTTTTCAATCATAGAAATTCATGTTCTCTATAAATTCCAAGTATATTTCTATTCGGGAATTATTAGATTTTTCCTACAATAATGAAAAAAAGAAGACCAAAAGCCGGTGACGACAATATTGAATATGAACCAACTCCAATATATCTCAAGCATCAACAGATGGAGTAGGTGGGGGAGGGTTTCATTCGACTAAAGTCTGTGGACCAAATTAGAACAATTGCTTGTCTTTTTCTCTTGTCTATTTAGAACAATCTAAGTTTTACTTTCATTTACAGTTGTGGAAATGAACGAGGGGTTCACTTTAATGATTTTCCTTTACTTTTCGTTCTTCTCTTTATGTCTTTAGACTCGTTCACTCTTACTCTCTATTTACTTTAACATTCTCTCGGCATTTACCAAAGGTCCTTAGAAGCACGCAGATCTAGGATTTCTAAAATATGGGTTCACCACTAAAAAGGAGAAAAAAGTATTAAATAAGAATTGATCCTTATTTTTGGGTAAATAATTTAGTATTCAATCAAGTGTACCATTCAACCTTTGTAGAACATGAGCGCCCAACAAATAATATTAGACTTATTCTAAAAAATATATACATAAAATACTAATTTGACATAAAGATCATAGGTTCACGTGCTCCATAAACTATTCTATAAATCCGCCACTGCCTTGAAGCAAATAATCAAAGGGGGAAAAATGTCAACAGGGCGGTGTTTCTAAAGTAGGATCACCTAGCAAAATACCGAATGTATGGGTTTGCAAGTTATATATAATCAGGGGCGGATTTACGGGGCGCAAGGGGTTCACCCGAACCCCATTCGCCGAAAAATTACACTATATATATAAGGCAAAATCTTGTTTTTATCTCTATATATTAAGTTTTGAACCCCCTTAACACAACCCAAATGTGTAGTTTAGTGGTTAAGGGGGTTCAAAACCTTCATAAGGTCACAAGTTCAATTCCCACTAGCTTCCGCCACCGTATATAATACCCTCTCATCAGATATGAACCTTCGTATGTGCAGTGTAAAGCATCGGCCTACATAATACGTGTATGGGTCAGAATTCGACCCCACGATAATTAACGAGGCTAATCCCGTTTTAAGTTAATTCATGATTAATTAATGGCACGACCGTTCAGAATTGACGATGTTCAACCCGCATCTGGTTCGATCGACAAGGCCATGGCCTATCCGCCACCATAAAGGCGAGATCCCAACGTGGTCACGACCACTTATCGCCAGATCACGAAGCTCACAGCTATAAATACTAAGAGTGGAAGTCCTAGAAAAGGGGGCTGCTTCTTGACCACTATGTAGAGAGAGAGAAAAGAGAAAAATACACCCATCTTATGGGAAGTGAAAACACCATTGTAAGGCTCTGAACCTCTTCATGGAGAGGCAGACCAAACCAATATTATCAATAAAGGCTTTTAATATTTCTCCCCCTAATCCTGTGTACCTCTTTTCGCTTCCTTCTTGTGGTCCAATGGATTATTACGATTTGCTATGATTTTCCCGTAACTTATTTGCATTGTTTTGCACTCATAAGATAAGTGATAACTTTTGAGCACTCATAAGCTAAGGCCGTCGATTCTATCACGACTAAAGTCGTCGATTTAAATTCGACTAGGGCCGCCAACGTGAACGGTCAACAAAAAGCGCAACAAAAACTCTAAAGAACGAAAGAAAAACAGTGACACAAAACAAGCACAAGGCAGGCAATGGAAAAGAAAATTTGTATATTTACAAAGTCAATTGCGGGTCATCCCCGCTTACACCCGGCCAAGGCCGATCAATCAAGAATTAAAAAAAACCAGAAACACTAAACGCCAAACGGCGAACAAGACAAGAAAAAATGCATAAACATCTTTTTACTCGGTACCGTCTGCGCCACCGTCTGCACCAGCGTCAGCCTCTGGTGTCGCCGCGTCAAAACCACAGTCGGCACGTGCCTCACGAGCCTTCTGACGCGCCCCCTCGAAAGCAGCTTCGGTCACGACGCCAGCCTCCCACAAACTCTTATATACATCACGTTGGGCCTCGGCAAAGACCCAAAGTTCTCGAGCCTGGCTGGAAGAAGCGGCCTGATCCCGTAGCCGCTGATTCTCTTCTTCTAAGGCTGCGATCTGGTCCGCTATGACCTGGGCGTCCTGCTCAAAGACACCAATCCGCTCCTCGATACTCGCTTCTCTAAAGGCCACAGCATCCCTTTCCAATGCCCGTTGGGATTCGTGCACGCGGATAGCTTCCTTCAAAGCCTCGGCCCTCGACGAAGCATCCCTCACTTGAAGCTTCAATGCCGCGACTTCACCCTCCTACGCGGTCACTTTCCCGCTCCATGCCGTAGCGGCCTCTGCCGCCTTGGCCTTGCCCCGACGCTCGCACTCAGTTGCGACCCTCTTTACCGCCTCGAGCTCCTCATCCTTTCGGCGGAGCTGCTCCTCGAGAGCACTCGTCCTGCCAAGTATTTGCTGCATCTGAAGCTCCCACCTCGCCAGCTCTTCGACCAAGGCCCGGCTACGAGGATCATTCCTCAAGCGCACGCGCAACTCTCGGCACTGATCTCGGTAGCGGCGATACTTCTCCAGCACCCGCAAAAATATCCCCGAGCGGAACTTGGCTCGATGGATGCTCTCCACCTCCAACAGATAAGACTGCAAAGCAAAGACAACGATTAGAATAAAAGAGTAAACTTAAGGCAAAGAAGAAGCGAACCGACGTAATAGTACATACCCTCAAGCCCATCACGGCTACTTCATTCATCAGTCCGACATCCGTAACGCCCCTCAACGATGCATTCTCGGCCTCCGAGCATAGCAACTCGAACTGCGGCACCAAGCTTTCCCTTTGGAGCAATAAGTTCAATTCCGTGGGAACCTCGATGAAGCGAGATCGCCCCCCTGCGCGCACCGCTGAATTGGTGGAGCCTTCCTGGAACATACGGACGTCGTCGGGATCCAAGTCGGATTCAGACTCATCCTCACCCCCTACAGCATCCGCCGCAGCCGCCGAAGGAGCGCTTGCCTCACCCACATTAGCAGCCGCTGAGGAACTACCTCCCGTCTCAGCGACTGGAACCCCCGATTGAGTCGCCGAAGCGACGGTATCATTACGACCTGAGCCAACCAGGGCAACACCCAGTGTTTGTCCGCCCTCAAGGGCAGGCGCCGCAGCCGCACTCCTCTCCGCGTCCGCTGGGGGGGAGTCCAAATTAATTACCACAGGAGGAGCCGGCGCGAACGCGACCCTACGCCTTATCAACGGCCTCTCCTCCTCCCCATCTGATGACGATTCCGCTCTAGGGCGCACGACCCCCGACGGCCCCTCATCCCGAAATGCGCCCCGTACCGGAGAAGGAACCGCTGAAGATTCAACTGATGCCGCCCTCGGTATTGAGCGCGACACAGGTGCCGCAGTAAGACGAGCGACTGCACCCGGCCGACGAAAAGCCAACTGAGGGGCCCTGACGCGGCGTGCCCTCCCTGATCACAGGAAAACAAAGTTGATGAATAAAGTTGAAACAAAGCGGAACAGAAGAAGAAATCAATTTCTTACCTGCCACGGGCCTACGGCCATGCCTCTCCCAGAAAGATGCCCATGTGCGTATCCCCACCGTATGGGGGAGTACGACCTCGACCCACTCACGTATCCAAGACAATGGGGCCGGCGGCGACCTGTCGGCTACAAAAACGACACGAGTTAACGCTCATGATCACAAATCATAAATAGGGGAAGAAAAGGGAATTCAACCACTAAAGAACTTACGTGCACGGTTCCAAGCCTCTGGAAACCCAGTGGCATCCGCCACCAGATGCTTGGTCCGGATGTAAAAGAAGTGCTCTAAAGGGCGAGGGTCGACCTCGTCATCCAATCTCATGACCAGGCCCCTCGACTCACGAGGGCACGCCTGAATCATGGTGCCACGGACTCTCTGGGGAGCGTAGAGACTCAGCACATGCTGTAGCGTGACCTCCCTACGGGCCAACTCCGCGTACTTGATGAACATTGCCAACAATTTGTAGAGGGAAGGAGTGAGCTAACCCGGGCACACCCCGTAATAACGGCAGAAATCCACCACCAGCATTGGGAGCGGAATCTTGAACCCCAACCTGAAAGGATAGGCGTAAAAAACGCAGTATCGCCTGCGGTCGGTGTGGATCCTCTCCTCGCTTCTAGCAAGAATGATGTCTGCATGGGTGGGAATGACCCCCTGTTCCCGTAATCGGGCCATCCCAATCTCCCCTATTAACGGGGCTTCATCCACCGGTTCCACTCCACCATCGACAGTGAAATCAATCGCCGGACCTCCGGGCCGAGGAACTACCTCGTCAACCGACGGAACTTCTCCGGTCTCTATCTGTTCTGCACCTCCCATTGCCCGAGGTGGCCTTTCAACTACCGAAATGTCTATCGGAAGAGCATCGTGGGAAGAACTGCCTGTCATTGTTAATCTACTAAAGATAAAGGTTATCACAATCAAAGGAAAGAAAGGAGAAGATGAATTTGCGGAATGAAAAAGTTTCCTCAGAATCTCTCTCAGATGAACAATGAAGATATGAGAAATGAATACCTCAACCCACCTTTATAGGCAACATAAATGGCTTTCGCGAAACCCAATAGCCATCATTAACTGCACGACCAACCGTAAAACGGTTCGGTTCTGCCGAAGCAAGC